CCCGGGTCCCGCCCCGCAGCGCTCAGGAGGCGCCTCCCGCCCTCTCCCCCCCGCCAAGCCGTCCTCGGCCCAGGCCACCGGATCGCCTGGGGAGGGAGAGGTAAGGCACAGATACGTGGAGCCCAGGGCACTGAACCACAGCTAGAACCTCTAAAAGGTTCCGGAAAGGGCTCCGGAGAAGAGAGGGGCCTAAGTCAGGGCCCATTATGTTGCTCTAGGGTGGTCCAGACCCATTGTTTTTGACTTCCCCAGGAAGACGCTAGTGAGCTACGTTGTACATGACATGGGGAGAGGGGGATACCCCTGAAGCCCAAGGCAGGAGAGCCTCTTATCAGACACAAATGCCATAGGCTCAAGTGGCCACCACCCAACAGCCCACACCTGGCACCTTCTGCCCACACCCAACACAGTCAGCTCAATGCCTCCTAGACCCAGAAATTCACTGATCCAGTAAAACACTAAATGATCAAGAATCTTCTGTCATTCCCACACACCTGCATTCTAGAAGAAGAAAAAAAAACCAACCAACAATTAATAACGGTTAGCTAACCCAGACCCAAACAACGTAATCATCCCATGTTAAAAGCTACCCATGCAGTGATGCCCCTGTGGTTAAAACTACGTGTACAGACCCTCTGTCTTCCTGCCTCCCTGCAGCATCAGAAGCCATGACAAAAATCCTCTGGTAGATATAGACTCATGAGAGCATAAATCATCCTGCACAATCCATAAAAGCAATGGCCCCAAGTGCCCACAGCCTACCCCAGCTCTTTGTACATAGACCCTCACAACCCAGGAGAGAAGGTCTCTCCAGATCCAGACCCCTGGGCTCAGCTCTCTCTCGATCCCAGAACAATATTGCCTCAATTCTTAAGCCCATTCTTTGCCATAAACCATCTAGTCAGAAATCCAAGTGAACACACCCATATCCAGAATCAAAATAAATGTGCCCCTCTTTATAAGCTGGGGTAATGAATCCAGAACCCCTGGGAGCTACTGACACAGAACTAGCTGGGATTGACCCCTCTATTTCTGGCTTCAGAGGGTATAAGAAATGAAGGTCATGGGTTAAAAGGCTCCTCAAGGGCTCCGAAACCAGAATCAGGGTCAAGGAGCATTTTTAGGAGTCAGGTGTGCTGGTTCCCCCATGCCCAGGCTGATATCAGGTGCACGAGTGCTGATGAGTATCTGGCAGGTAGGTCGGGATATTATGTAACAGAAGGGGTTGGGGGTGGAAGGGGAAATGGAGGGAAGAGTGAAGAGAAGGAGGGAAGGAAGGTGAGGAGAAATGCAGGAAGAGCCCAGGAGAAAAAAGTGGAGATGCAGGTGCAGAAAGACAGGCTCCCTCGCACTGGGGGATGCCAGGGAGACACTGGGACA